GGCAGGCTCAGCAAATCAGCGGATGAGAACCTGATGGTGCTTAACACTGAAAAATGCAAGGCTCTCCACCTTTGGAGGAAAAACCTGCAGCATCCTTGTAGGCTCGGCAGTGCTACGCTGGCTAGCACTGCGGAAGAAAGAGACTTGGGGGTCATCATGACCACAGGATGAACATGAGCCTGCAATGTGATGCTGTGGCTAGTAAAGCGACCAAAATGCTGGCTTGCATCCATAGATGCTTCTCAAGCAAATCCCGGGGCGTCATTCTCCCCTTGTACTCAGCCTTGGTGAGGCCGCAGCTGGAGTACTACAATTCAAAAAGGATGTGGAGAAGTTTGAGAGAATCCAGAGAAGAGCCACGCGCATGATCAGAGGTCAGGAAAACAGACCTTACGACGGCAGGCTGAGAGCCATGGGGCTTTTTAGACTGGAAAAGCACAGGCTTAGGGGTGATCTGATGGCCACCTATAAGTGTATTAGGGGTGACCACCAGGATCTGGGGGAACGTTTGTTCACCAGAGCGCCCCAAGGGATGACGAGGTCAAACAGTTATAAGCTACTGCAAGACCGTTTCAGGCTGGACATAAGGAAGAATTTCTTTACTGTCCGAGCTCCCAAGGTCTGGAACAGCCTGCCATCGGAGGTGTTCAAGCACCTACATTGAACACCTTCAAGAGTAAATTGGATGCTTATCTTGCTGGGATCCTCTGATCACAGCTGACTTCCTGCCCTTCAGCTGGGGGGCTGGACTCAATGATCTTCCGAGGTCCCTTCCAGCCCTAAAGTCTATGAAATCCTTTAAAATCTAGATTTTTTTTTTATAATGTAAAGTGGTTTTCTAAATGTATAATAGCCCAGGAGTTTTGTCTTGCACTGAGATTTCACCTACTTCTAATGGGTGAATTATGAGGATAAGTACAGTGACATATCCAACCACAACTTCCTCTTTTGTATCCTTCTGTCCTAAGATGTATTAATCACCTTATTTAAAATTCTTACCTGTAGTTATTGCACTCATGTAGGTGCTGTTATCAATTTTTTTACATATTCTTAATATAGCTCTTCTCAGGTCTATTTTGTAGTGCTATAGTAAACGAAAGAAAAAGTAGTCAAACGGTTAAATTAATGTCAGTGTAGCTTTATCAGCATGGCTGCCTACATAAGTGTTGTCAGAAGTATTAAAAATAAAAATACATATGAAAAGCCAACCCTTTAGATGTCTGTCAGAAGCAAGTACAAATCCAACCAGCACCCTGGCACACGTTACACTAAAGGTCAGACTAACCTGTTAATTGTGCCATAAATAGTAACTCAGCCACACATTAAGGCAATTAATGGCATGACAGCATGCGAAGCCAGCCATAAAAATATTTTGCAAAATGTGTAAAACTTCTGTGGCTGGTTTCCGTTGCTCCTTAAATTGAGAACATGGCAGGGTAGCCCTGCCATACAGTCAGCCAGCTGCATGGCAAGGCATGGTGTTTCCAGGCTACTGAGCGGAAGGGAGCTGATCAGCTACGGCCCTCTGGTAACCCAACATGGTGCTTGCCCTACCCTTCAGCTCCTGTTGGGGCTGAGGAGCAAGGCATGTTTCAGTTCTAGGTCATAAGGGGCGGTGGTGCATGGCACATATAACATGGCAAGAGGTGGTATTGGGAATCGGATCCCATTGCACCTTTAAAAGAACATGCGCCAGGGGCCCAGGACAGAGCTGCACACACTGTTCTAGAATATGTGTTCAGCTGTCTTGTGTTCAAGCTGTCAGTGGTGTCTGTACCTAATCCAGTGGCTGGTAGTAGGATGATGTGGCGTGTCTCCTTTCCCCCTGGCTCAGGAACAGATTTTTCTTGTTTCTATTTTAGAAATCTTAACTTCTTAAAGAGAGAGATCTTCTTTTCTTTGTATTTTGGAGGTTTACATCTTATTGAGCAACCTTACAAGTAAGTGTAACATGGGACCCAAACCCTGTTACTTGGACACAAGGGAAGGGAAGACTCCATTGGCACACCTAGAGCTGGTGCCAAAGCAATCCCCAGGAAGGTGGGAGCTCTGGCAGATGGCCCCCAGGAGAGGACTGTGAGAAACGTTTGTGAGGGGAGTGGCTGTTGAAGTGGCAGATCCAAGCAGAAGGAACCCAAACCAGGGAGCCAAAGGCTTCTGTCACTTTAAGGGGATTGAAAGGAGGCGGGACTCCGAAGCACATAAGCATCATCCCTGAGCCTGTGTGGGGAAATGGTCCCTTCAGGCTGCAAGGAGAAGAACTTCCACAAGGAAACAGACTGTGGGAAGTAGTGCCCAGTTAGTTTATGGGAGGTGAGTTCTGTGAAGGTGGTGTATATAGTTGTGCTAGTATAGGTTTGAGTTTGAAACGTTTGGTTGGATTTTTGTTCTAGTCCTGGAGGGTCAAATGGGGCTATAAGGGTTGGATTGGAGTTCACAAAGATGCTGCAAGGGCACCCAGTGGTAGAGCCCTTCCAGGGTTGGGGACCTGGTGCTGTGTATGGCAGGAGCCCCAAATATTTTACTAAGATGCCGAACCAAGAGCAGTTTTGCCCTGGGGTTAGGGATGCAAGAGGGGCAGAGACAAGCTGTAAGATTGGACTGAGGGGCCCAGAGACCAGATACCCAGAGATGGCTGAGAGAGCCAAGTCCAAATCAGTGGGTCAAGACTAGAAACCTGCAGCCAGAGACAGGTAGAGCTAAAGCCAAGAGGGCTTTACTGTAATGTTTCAATAATAGTAAATGTGCATTTAATTGAAAGTTTTCTCTTGGCTAATAGAATGAAGAGTGAATTTTTATATTTTAAAAATCTGGTCTCAAATATGAATGTTGTAGTAGTGGGAGACTTACGGGAAAGTGTTTTACATTTTATCAAGATAATGCTCAGGGTAAGCCATTAAAAGAAACAGCTTTCAGTCCTGTTTGTATTGGTGGTGAATCATTGGAATATTCAAGCCCTATTTTAATTCTCCAGCCATTACAGAGAGTGCATAGCATAGACAACGCCAGTAAAATTCCAGCTTCTATAGATGAACTGAAAGACCTGCACCAAGCATGTTTTCAGATGAAATTATTAATCTATTAACCTGTCAAAGGTAATTTCAAGAATATTGAAATTATAAATATAAAATTGTTATTTCAGGTAATAAGATTCAGACTTAATGTGTAGTTAGCACCTGG